GATATTTCATTCATAAATGCATTGCTGTGTCTCCGTATTGACTGCTTCTTCTTTATCTTTATTTTTTTTATGTATCACCTCATCTGGACTGCCTGGCGTTCGCCACGCTGCGTGTTCGGTTGACACGTTGAACCGGATCAGAAAAAAATGCTTACGGAAGTTGCGAATTTCTACAATAAATTGTTAAATTGTTGTTGTGGCACAATGTTGTTTTTTTATTTTAATTTATTGCTGTTCATTGCTAAAACCAGCTTTGAAGTAGGTTAGGTTTACTAATAGAAATAATTTCGAAATAGTTTTGGAAATTTAAAAAATTTTAAAAATTAAGAAGCTTAAAATCAAGAAGGTGCTCATTTGTTGAAATCGCCGATATTAGACCACTATATCGTAAAGCCGTCATACAAACTGAAGGATCGGGTTCAAGTCCTTCTAAGCAAAGTTTTTGTATTTGGAGATATCTTAACAAAATTTGTCATGAGTAATTGAGTATGGCAATGCTATTATATCTGAAGATTTTTTTCGGATCGGATAACTTTATCGTATAGCTGTCATACAAACTGAACAATCAGGATGAAGTACTTGTATGGAAAGCTTTTTAATTTGGAAATAAATCTGCAGGAAATTGGAAATTTATTGCCCATTGTAACGGTACAATATCTCATATCTCAATATATCGCATCGCTGCCAATAAACATGTCCGAGGTTTCACATATCTTTCCAGCAGAAAACCCCGGTATTGTGGGGAAATCTTCACGATATATCTAAGCATACAAGAAAGTGTAGCATGAGCTAATATATATTGCAGAAAGGAAACTTCTGTGGGCTATTATCCTAAAGGACAACTTCTAAAATGCACTTCTTTCAATACAAAACATTGAAAATCGGAAGATGCACCTGCTCATGGACCAATGCAATGAACAGTCTACACACATATTGGCATATACAAACATACACTCGCACTTAAATAAGTTTGCTTGTTTGCTCAACTGACTGTCTGACTGGCTAGATCAAAAAAGCATAAGAGCGCTGATTGTTTTCATATAAACATGTGTGGATAAGTATGTATGTATATTTGTATTTTAGCCAGCATCAATGGCAGATCAGCCAACTACTTTTGCACAAGCACACACACATATACAAATAGTAATACATATGTATGTGCAGTTGTTGGCTTACGATTGCTGGTTGCCTGCCGGTCGTCGGTTGTCGGCGTGGTATCGGCCCACGCTCGTTGAGCGTTAAATACCGTAAACAGCCAGCAATGGAATGTTGTCTAAATAAATCATGAAATAAAACACGATATGGCCAGCACACACACTTGCATATTTACACACATTCGCACGTAGCAAAAGTAAATATGCGCATATCTCAATATTTCCAATATAAATATGCATATTTGTATATTTGTACACAGAAATGTTAGTTTCCAACAAATGAGCATAATTATCGCTGGCCTCTAAAATATTTTATACTCGATGCTGTAATATTTATATCTTTTTGACATGCTTGCTGATAGCATGATTTGAAATCCGAAAACTAATTCTTCAATTTTTTTTTCTTTCCTTTTTTAATTTATGAGTTGTTGACCGTAATTTATGTGCCTCGATTGGATCACTGTTATGTCTGCCAGCAATTTTTCATGGGTCTTATTATTCACTTATTGATCTTCCTTTCCGCTATTTCTATTGCTGTTGGTCCATTTGTTATTGTAATTGATTGCTGCTGCTGTTGCTGCTTGCAGCTGTTGGCGAAAGCATTGTTTATGACTTGACATTAGATTACTTKACGAAATGCAGCTTGCCACAAGCTTTCATACAATTTTATATGTGTATATATGTGTGCGTCTGTGTGGTTATTTTTCTTTTATTAATGCATTGAGCTTTGATTTCATAAATGATTATAAATAACATTGGATTTACAGAGACCTGCATACATATGTATCTATGTACACGTATAAAGATATAAATACATAAATAAGTAGTTGTGTAATTAAATATGTACGTATGTATGTACAAAGATGTAGTTATTTGAAAAGCTGTCTGTCTTAAAGCAAAAGAAAAAGTCTTAAATGCTAGAAATATAATTAATGTTATGAAACAAATTTCAAAGGTTCTGTAACTATTTTAAAATTTTTCTTTGTTAAAAAAATATAAAAATATTATATGGAATTTGAAAAAAATTAATCAACTTTTACCATACAATTATTGAAAAAACAAAATTTTAAATTTCTTTAAATATATTAAAAAAAAAAAAAATAGTTTTAGAAAATGATCATTTAACGAAAGGAAATTATTAAAAAAAAAATTTTTGGCACTGCGTGTTTCCTTTATGTTGCCTACTTTTAGGGATATACGGGGTCATATTTCATAACAGAGAATTATTATGTTTTCTCCCGAACAGGATATATTATGTTTGCTCCGAAATGTGGAACGACTGCCGGCAAACGTGGAGACCCAAAAAAGTAGATATATAATATAAATGATCCATGAAGAGCTGGGTCTCTTTATCCAATTGTGCCTCTTTATATATGTATACACAAAATAGTGCTTCAGTTTATGAGATAACTGAAACTTTGCACACCATCTTTTCTACCCAAACGGCTGCTCATGTGTCGAAATGGCCTATATCGGACCACTAAAACTCATAGCAGTCATACAAACTAAATTATTGGAATCAAGCTCTTATATGGAAAACTAGCTTATTCAACGGCAAATCTTCACGAAATTTGGCACAGCTTATTGTGGTAATAATTTTTACAATCTCCGAAGAAATTGTACAGATTCGATTACTATAACATATAGCTGCCATACAAACTAACCGATCAAAATCATGTTCCTGTATGGACATGCTTTTTCATATCAGAAAAAAATTAAGTATAAATATTGTGTCCTCCATCTTCTTCCTAATTATTAGCTTAGTTTTGCTTCCCACTTTGTCCCTAACGCGCTTAGTTTGAGCTCGGCTTTCTGAGTCAATTAACTTTTGGGAAGTTCCCGCCTTTCTTTGTAAAAATTTATTGTACATTTGACTCATTATTTCGTTATCCCTTATGGTATCACCCACGTATGCATGTATGTATGTTTGTATACATGTGTCAGCCTGCAATCGTCATTAGAAGTTTTCGAGAAACCCCACAATAAGTAGAAAAACATGCCAGCGGATCTAAGCATCGATTAAAATCGTAGGAGCATTGTGTAATACATAGAAATATATAAATATGTAAAACTTGAACTTTCAACCTCCGTTATAATTGGCCAAAGGTGCCTACGAGCAGAACAGTTGCTCAATTCGTACGTCGTCATATATTAATTGGCAGCGTTTAATTGAATAACAGCATGAAAAAGACAGTACACACACACACATCTTGACATGCAGACTACAACATATGTGTAAATATGCTTGTGTGCGTGTGTGTATGTGCATGAGTAACGAAATAGAACTTTTGGAAAACAACATGTTGAGCAATATTTGTTTACATGGTAGCACATAGTGACTGTATAATATACAGTGGGTATAAAATATTATTTACATATTTACTTAATAAAATATATTTACTCAAATAAATTCTATATAAATAACTACTTTTTCGTTCTTTTTAATGTTTTATCTCCTTCTTATGCACCCACTGCGACACCCTTTATTCTTCTAAGCTAAAAATAGCCAATATTGTTTATGGCTTGTCCAAAGTCAACCGTCCAAGCTACGCTCTCAGTTGCTGCTGCTTAAAATATGCTTGGGTGGGCATTGAATTCAAATGCAACGGGCGAAACGAGCTGTGACACAGTCTGTCACTTCGTTGATGGTGAAGATCACTAATTGGAAGCGGGCCATTAGGCAATAAAGAAACAACAACAACAAAAAACATTTTAAATAATAGATAATAAAGTGGAACATTAAAAATAAAGTTACAACTCATAATAGCAAAGACGCGTTAGCATACTGGTGCACAAAAAAAAAACACATACTCATACATACATAAATGGGGGGAAAAGCATATGCACACAATTTAACTGCTATTTCTGCCCAATTGGGGCGAAGATGCAAGTCAAGGAATAAAGAGGACGGCCAAGAAGAGCTTCATACAAGTGTAAATATGGAATTACAAGTACATTTGTTGGTACTATGTATGTATATATGTATGTATGAATGCATGTATCTCAGCGTCCATCAGAATGTGCGATCGGAAGAAAGGAAGTAAATATTCATACTGACATACATATATACACATAAATGTGAAATGCCGCTGGTGGAATAAGGTCACTGCTGGGTCAACGGGGTCCAAAGTTGGCTTATAATTAATGATAAGCCTATGAGTAATGCTGTGAGTTATGCACGTTGTCGGGCGAAATTAATGCTTATGACGTATATGCAGCACTGACCTAGTTGAACTCTCGTACGTACTCGACTTTAAGAATGTCAAAGAAAAGTACACAGGAAGTGGAAATCCGAGAAAAAAGCAACTACATTTCTGAATGCTAACGACAACCAAAACTTCACAACAAATTTGTAGCGAAAAAAATAGCAAATGAGATTTGTTTTCAATCTTTTTTCAATCTTTTTTTTTTCAATTTTTTTTTTTTTTTTTTTTTTTTAAATAACACATAATTATGTATAGAAGGAAAGAGAAGCTTCATCAAGGTTTTCAGCGTTATTCAGCTTTAGAAAATGCGCGCTAAAGTTGTAATATAGATCAATCTGTTCACATATTTACTCTATATAAGAGCTTGCATTAATTGTATAAAAACTGAGTCCTTGAGGACTATATATTGGATCTATAGTCCGTTTTAGAAGCACTGCAAAATGCTCAATAAATCAATTCAAGGACATTCAGTACGCATATTTCCCCGAAGATATGAGCGAGAGAGCAGTGCCTACACTTACAATAACTCGAGAACTTTTTAAATACAAAAAGACGGCTCTCAAGAGCATATAAACCATGTATAAAGCAAAAAACATTTCTTTACATTTTAACAAGCTAAGCTACTCTACGAGTGACTTACCCCGACTTGGTAAAGCACACGTACATCCTGTATGCTCGCACGAGCAGCGCCGTGTCTCTGCCGGTTATAACTGTTGTTCTCCTTTTCGTATACTGCGAAAGGACTGGCGGTTTTGGACAGCTTTAGCTGCTGTTGTTGTTGCTGCAACAGAGTTTCGCGATGGTAATTGTGCTGCTGCTCGATGATCTCCAACATCTGACGCGAACGGCGCTGATCCACAATCAGATCGCTCTGTTGCTTCGCTTGTTGCTGCTGCTGTTGTTGTGGCGTGTGTTGGTGTGCGGACGGCGCACCTGCTGCCGCATGATGTGAATCCATTGCAATCGTCGCGGGGTGCGTTGCTGTTGTTGTTGTTGTCGCTGACACCGCCGAACCGCTGGCTGCTGCTGCTGCTTGCTGCAACATCTTCGCATTGACTGTGGCATATTCCAAATTTCTGTGTCGCGTATCGGCGCTGCCGTCATCGGGCGCGCTGTTGGCGGTTGCTGTCGCCGTTGCGCTGGCTGCGGCGGCCGCCGTCAGCTCGTACACCTCCAGTGGCAGGCGTGTCGTCCGGGCGGTGCTTAGCTGTTGGCAGCATAGCAGCAGCGCGAGCAGGATTGTGTGTGACAACATTCTGTTGTAAGTTTTTGTATTTTTTTTTTTTTTTATTTGAGAGAAAAATATTTTTTCTTTGTTATTTTTCGTCGTTGTTTTCGAGCTGTTGTTTGTCGCTTCGAATTTATTATGAACTTCGTTATTATTGTTGCTGTTGTTTTTGTTACTTAAGCAACACTTTGCCGTTTGTAATTGACACTTTAACGCTCCACTCGCGCACCTTGAGCGTGTTTTGCACAATTCTGTTTATTTATTGTATTTGCCTTTGTCTTTTTCGTTGTTTGTAGTCTAAATGTGTATGTGTCTGTGTTTGTTGTGTTTGCTTATTTTAAATAGCGTATATCGGCTGTTTCTAGCAACTAAGGCGCTATGTGTCTCGCCAACATTTTGTGCAGTTACCGCACTCTGTTGGTGGCTGCCGCTGAGCCGCTGTTCAATCACTCATTTGCACTCGATTCACAAGCGCTTCAGTTCATAAACGATTGGCAGCGATCGCCTTGCTTGACGTCTACATATGTACGTACGTACATATATGGCAATCTATATGTTATATCAGAGAGCTTTAAAGGAGTTTTTGATTTGCAAATTTTGCAATTTCCTGCAATTTTCTTCTACAATGCGTTGCCCAAAGACGTATTGAGTGTTGATTTGTAGTTGTTGTGTAAATGTTTTTTACTTGTGTGCTACTGTTTTCTTTATATGTAATTTCTAGAATGCAAAAAATTTCGAAAATAATGAAGTAAGTTTTTATAAAAAAAAAATTTTATAGACACTCATCAATTTCTGTGTTTGCTATGTATGTATGAATGCATGTGCTTATGTATAGTTTTGTGTAGGTATTTATACTTTTATATATGTTTGTCTGTATATCCGTTCATTAGCAATTTTCGTAAACCGTATAATTTTATATAATTAATGTTTATTCAGTTTTTTCCTCACCGTTCAATTAATTTTTTATATTTTGTATTGTTAATTTTTTTTTAAATTTTTTGGTAGCTAAAATACAAAATAACGTTTCATCAAAATAATTAAAATTTTGTATTTAATTGTATTGCAAAAAATATTACGTATGTATACCATAATAAAATTTCTATGTTCCGCTGTCAGATATTACCAATATATAACCATTCTATAACCAAAACTCAAAAATTTTTTTTAAATGAGTGGCTTATATTATATCGTTTTTCCAATGCTTGTAAACTTATGAAAAGTTATGTTACCTTTTTTTTACATTTTATTAGAAATTGCATGCATTTGTGCATAAACAAAAAATCTCGAACCATTATATTGAACGTTCACCAATTCATTTCTTTTGATGACAATAGCTGATCTTATTGCATTTTTTCGCAGCCAACTTCACACCTCACTCCTTTAAACAGTTCATATAGTAAGACTTGCTTTTAAAAAAAAACAAATTTTTTTTAAATAAATCGTGTTTCCTATGGAAGATGGAAGTTGGAAAACAGCGTAAGTGACTTATTTTACTCTTTTACCAAGAAATAGGTAAAAATGCAGTTCGTTCCAGCGATTTCAATCTTGAGGTTTCACCAAGTACTGGAGGTCCTTTTGATGCCGCTGTGGTTAAAATAAAGTATTTGGAGGTATCATGGTCTAAAAGATGCTGAAACAGCTCAAACCACTTCGAAGGCCGCTAGTCACCAAACAAAAGTTCTGTTGGCTGTTTGTGGGCATTTCAAACCAATCTTAATTTTATTTTTTGCCTGACCATTGTTGTGTTGTGTGTTGTGAATTCATCAATGAAAAAAGTGTCGAGTGTTGATGACTCGCCGAAAGCTTTTGCAGCTTGAATGGGATATGATATCACACATACATGCTTCAGACTTGGAACCTACAGACTATTATTTGTTCCGGCCACAGCGATTTTTTTTTTTGTTTTTTGATTGGAGAACGTTCACCTGAAATCTGATCTCAAAAACTACTTGAACCAGTTTTTTCCTGTAAGAATTAAAAATGTTATGTGCGTGGAATCAATCACTTGCCCGAAAGATGGCAGAAGTTATTGGATAAAATTGGATAATTTATAGTTTCATAACAAAAAATCGTGTTTAAAGTGATTTTTAATGAAATTACTTAGTGAACGAATAATATTTTTTTAAGGACAAAAAGTTGTGGCACATATTTGTGTAAATATTTTTATATTTTACAATTTCATAAAGGACAAAGCTTTTCCTATATTCTTTTACTTATTTAACAAATTTTTCTTTTTTAAAATAATCATTTATTTAAGCAACTTTAAAGCTTCGTAAAAAAATTAAACAGTTCATCTTTATGGTTAAATAAAGAATAGTTACTTTTTCTACATTTCGCAGTTTTAATGTAATAATGTGCATATTTTGCAATATTTGATTTTCAAAACTTTATTTAATTTTTTTTTTTTTTTTTTATTATATAATAATTAAATTTTTTTTTTAATTAAATTTTTTTTAATTTTTTTTTTTTTTTTTTTTTGAAATATATGTAATGATAATTTTTGAAATTGATGATAATAAATACTGCCAAATTTTTCTAAAGTCCAACCATTTGGTAAACAAATTTTAAATAAATATAGACAAAAAAATTAAATGGAAATTAGGGCTAAATATTAAAGCTTTATAAAAATTGTTCGAAAAAAACTGGTTATCGACTGCCACTTATTTATAAAATTTAATTTTTAAATTAGCATTACAAATAGTTGTTATTTAATTAACAAATTGAGACGTATATTGTTTAAATATATACAAATAGCAGTTTTTTTTTATTGCTTGTAGCTATTTGAGTTCATAATATTTATTTTTGATATTAACTATATATTTTTTGTTATTTATTTATTTTAATATTATCTTTACATTTTTCTTTTAAATTAACACGCCCTTTTACCATTATATCTATGTATATATTGAATGCTATTATATTATATATGTATGTATATGTAAAACAATATTTTTTATGGATGTTTATTTTTTTGAGATTTTCATTGACGCGCCGCTATTTTAGTTGTAAACAAAGCGCCTTTTTCAGATGCGTAGTTGATTGTTTTTCACCGACGTGTGTTTTGCAAGCTTCCATTCGCTTATAAAAATGTTGTAATTCAAATTTATATTTATTTTTTCACTTTAGCCATTTTGTTCAACTTTCGGTCGTTTAATTGCCGCGCCAGTTGAACTATTTTCCGGCTGATTGACGACGAAAATTAGTTGAAAATCACGTCATTCCGTCAACCAGGGATTTGAAAATTAATTAGCTGTGTAAGCAAGTGTTTAATAAAGACCGAAAAAACGTGCTAAAAATAGATTTGATTGAGGAAATTTTTATAAATAAATTTCATTGTAATAGACATTTTTTTAAACGGCTTGAAGCACTCAACAGTTCAAATACAAATTTTACAAAAATGATTTCGACATTATTCATAAATCATACTCCGTGTCCTCCTCAACCAATTCGTGTACTATTTGTATGTATGTTTGTTATTTTTGTAATTAATAGTTGAAGATTTTGCAGGTTCAGTTTTCCACAAACATGTATTTTCATACTTAATTTATCAAAGTCGGTCTCAAAATAATTGCCATCGAAAAACACTTGTCCAAATATTCACATACACACGCACACACACATATACAGATGCATATTCGTTAGATCGAAATCACGCCCGTTAACGTTGTCGTTGGCGCATTTGGTCGCGAGCCGCGTAACTCGAAAAACTAGTCGGTGAAAAAATAACCACTGTAGTTATTTCATGCATACATATGTACACATACATGTGTGTGTGCACACACAAACACATGGCGGTTTATGGGCAAGTATTTATTGAATGAAGTGCGCGCGCGCATTTACAACTTGTTTCGATTCATTCATAAAAAACTTCATTGATCGCGCACCACAGCAACAACAACCACATGCATTCATACATACATTTGCATGTAGAAAATCGACTGTGTAGATTTGTAACTCACTCTAACTGGCTGCTAAAGTTTTGACTCCCTCGTGTGCGCTAATACACTAACTGCACGGCGCACGAACGTTGTTCAATGGGTTTATTCAAAAAAACAAAAGGCAACAAAAAAAAATGTCACACGAAAAACTTAAAAGTTTTCGCCGAATCGAGGCTTCAACGCGTAAAAGTCCTTAAAAGTTATACATCAAACTACAGTTAGGTTTTATACACATTCGTATATGTTTTTCGTATTTAATTCGTCTTCGTTTTTCTATTTTTTTTTCTTGTATTGCCTGTAGCGTTTTTCGCTCAACGCACAAAGTGGAATTTCCGCTTGCGACTTCGACTTCACTTTTCGAACTGATCAAACAAACTGAAAGATACGAAACCCAGCAATGCTCGCATTTGCTTATCGTTCGTCGCCAAGTGAGCAGTGCGCCTGCCGTCTTATGTCGTCGACGCGAGCAGCACAAGTACAAGTCGGACGTCTTGCGGCGTCGCAGTTGCAGTCACAGTCGTCGGTAGTCGTTGTCAATCGTTGATCATCGTTTGTTGGTTGTCGTGGCTGTTCGTTCGTGCTTGTGGCTAGCGTAGACGCTCGCTGGTCGTCGCCAACGGAAAACTTGAATGAAAACCAACACAATCACACAAATGTGGCAGTCGGCAGACGTGCTGTTGCATGCACACCAGAGTCGCATTTGTGTGTGTGTTCGCTGTTTACCTGCGATGCAATTGTAATGGCGCGAATGCAACGCACGTATACCCTGCACCACACAGTGGCGACTTGCGCAACGCTCGTAGCCGGAGTCGTCGCTTTGACTTTGAGTTTCAGTGTGTGAGTGCTTATTTTTGGATGGTCTGTAGGAAAAAGTGATTTGACAAACGTTATATAATCTGCACCGATGTGTAAAATCCTGTTGGTTTTTAATTTAAAAGTTTAAATAATTTTCTGTTATGAGATATATTAGCGAAAATAAATTTTGTATATTTTCTTAGTAAAAATTTAGCCTGTTTCAAATAAAAAAAAAAAAAAACACATCTTCAATTTCCTTCAGCAACCATTTTTCAGATAGTAGACCTCCACACTCATCTGCGCCACTCTGCCCCATTTAAATGTTTACAGTCTTAAGTAAACTCTAATTGGTCCCTCGCTGTTTCCACTACTTCTGTTTCTAAAAGAAGTTTTAGAAATAAATATAAAACATCGCAGATGAGCCATAAACGAAGGCACAGACTTCGATCTATGAGTTCAGGCATGAAGTTCGTAAATAATTCCCACTTTTCTAAAAATTCAGTTTAAAATCTATAAATTTCCTACAATGGCCACTCGCTGCAGCATCAGTTTCGCTGCTCACGTACTCGCATATCTTTGCGGTTACGTTTCCGCTCGTCTCTTACACTTGCTTCACGAACGTTTCATGAATGAGTGCTCGAAGGTATGAATGAATCGTGAGCGGTCGCGTTGCTGCTCGCTTGCATCTGCTGCGATGTGCTGCTCATTCATTCATTCAGCATTACTCTACCCAATCATGCGCAGGCACTAACACAGCCATATTTCCATAGATGCTGACGCTGCTGCTGCTGCGGTCGCTGCCGGTGTACAGCATCCAACGCGTCGCTCATTCTAGAAACAGAGCATTCATTTTGGTATTGTTATTGTTGCTTTAAAGTGAGTTGAGATTGCTGCTGATTTTTTATAATTTTAGCCAGGCAGTAGTTGGTGGTTAGAGCTCACTTTTGCGCAGCCGTAAAGTGTACGCGCATAGGGTTGCCGAATGTTTGCGTTAAAAATTAAATGAAAATACATTTAGTTCTGAGAAATATATTTAAAGAACGTTTTGATTGCTTAATTTTATAGGGCAAAAGATAGTTGAACTTTTCTCTCTAGAAAAAGATATGCAACTATATTACATGTATATTTTTTCTTTGAGTGGATCAAGGAGATTTGGATTCCACTCTGCAGAAATAAGCTCATAAATGTATATCTCCAATATGCTTCCTTTATATAATAGTCTGTCCACAATTCGATCGCGTGTGCACTCGCCGGATCGCCTGATGTGCTCAACACCGTCGAGACGGCAATCCACACTCACTTAGCCGTGCAGTCTTCGTTGTGCTAACTCAAACTTTCCTACGGCGGATGTCCAACGACTTTGGCTCTGCGGCTGCTGTTGCTGTGGACGAGCTCTTGTCGTGTTGTTTTTATTGTCTTTACTGCTTCGATATTATTGAATCGTCTTCTCTGAAACTACGCTGACTTCTACTTCTACTTCTTTTTCTTGTCGTTGTTGTTGTTGTTGTAGTTGTTGTAGTCAACGTTGCTGTTTTTGTGACTTGTTTACTTATCTGCTGTCCATTCATTCGGCGAGTGTCCGTCCGTCAGCGACCCGACCCGGTTCTTTTCGACCGTTGTGCGGCTCTTGCTGCTTACTGCCCGTCCATCCGTCCGTCGTGGCATTCTACTACGCGTTTCTCCGCCTTTTTTTGTTGATGTAACTGTTGTTGTTGTTGCTGTTTTTTTGTTAAATTTATGAAGTGATCGTAGTTGTTGCTGTGCTGTTGTTCTTTTTGTTTTTGTGGCGCATTCTTGGCTTGTCATTTTTACTACGACCGGAAACTAGTTCCTTTTGTTGTTGTTTGTTTAGTTTCATCATGCTTCGCTTGTTGTTGTTATCATTTCTTGGCGATGTTTTGATTTTCTTTTTCTATCAAGTTTTTTTTGACGCTTTCTTTCACTACTCCTGCTGGTACTGCCGAGTCATTCGCATGCCGCTCGTTCGATCGGCCGCTGCTGACGCCGTTCGAGCCGTTCGTATGGTTGTTGTTGTTATGGTCTTCTCCATTTCATCTTATTTGTCTTTGATTCGAATAGTCTGCTTACCTGTTGCGTCGGTGAGCGCCGCCTCGACGACTCCGTCCATTCGTGCACTGCGGACGCGGTCAAGACGTCGCGCGGCGAGTTGGCGCGAGTGCCAATCGGCCAAACAACGTCCGGTCCAGCGCCGGTCAACCTGCTCTACGCTTTCGTCTCACTTTCAAGAATATTCTGACCACTATGCTGGCAGCGCGAAGTCGGCACTTAACATTGCTGGTGTTGTAGCTTTGTCGTATGCCTTCATATGTACATCATATGTGTGAGTGTGTGTTTGTCTTTTTTAGAGTTATAGCATGCCGTTGGCGGTTGTGGTTGTTGTTTTAGCGCGCTCCATTGGCTCATTTGGAGCTTGGCGAAACATCCGAACCCCAGGGCTAGTGTATAGGTGTATGTGGTTATGGTGGCAGGCCGCTGCTCTTCATCTCCAGCTGCGTTGATTTGTTGTTTGCATTTGGTTTAAATGTGCGCATGCCAAAGTGGCCATAATAATAACAATAACAAAAACCACTTGGGATGCTGTATAATGAATGAATGAATGAAAAACAGGAATAGTTTGGTCGTCAAGCGCTTCCTGTCCGCGTGCTTAGACAGTCTCCGGCGTTTTTATTTTTAACAACTGCAAAGTCAGCATTTTCTCGTTGCTGAAAAAGTATCGACCTTGTTTTCGTTAACAGTACTCTTAGAGTTGAGCTTCACAAATTTGGTTGTAAGACACTGTGAACTCAATAGAGATTTCGGCACAGCTATCATGCAAATACTGTTTTTATTGAAAGACCAATATCGAAAATATGGATCGGCGGCTGCGGAAGTGTTGGGATGACGGCCTTGGCTACCGAAGTTCACAAGAAAGGCAGTGTAAGCCGGGTCGTTGTCGTGGTGGAACTTCCAATCGGCTGCGATGTCTAGCTCGACTCGATTGACCCTTCGTTTGAATCTCTTGAGGACTTCCACGTAAAACTTGGCGTTGACGGTTTGTCCAGGAGAAACGATTTCATGGTGGACGATACCTTTGAAGTCAGAAAAGACAATCAGCATCGTTTTCACTTTGGATTTTCTCATTGTTACCTTTTTTTAGCAAGCAGATCGTGGCGTGTGCCACTCGCCAATAAAAGAGCAATTATGTTGTGCTCCATCAGGACAACGTCGGGTCACACTTAGATAGGGATTAGCTTGAAGATCCGAGATAACTTCTATGATAGTGGCATTATGAATTTAACTTGAAGATTGAAACAAGTTATCGCACAACACGCTGCGTATTTGACCTAAACGCGAAGATACCGACTGTGTTATTTAAAACTTTCAATTTAGTTTTACAAAAATTATCGATTGCTTTTTACTAGATTACTTTCGTTTTACTCGATTAAACTTTAAGTTTTCATCAATTTCTACTACATTTTTCGAAAACTTATTTCCAGATCTACTGAAACCTGTCACACAATAATTTTATCACTCTCTTCTCTATCTCTTCCTTTATTCCAGGAAAAATGTACGCTGTAATAGGTCGGCGTCATGGCAAGATTCTTTCTGGCGATTCAATCCAAGGCAGTGGCAACTTTTCTGTGTTGGCCATCTTACCCGTCATTGAATCGTTCAATTTTGCACAGGAAATACGAAAGCAAACGTCGGGACTTGCCAATCCACAATTGATGTTCAGCCATTGGGAGGTAAGTGCAAACAAATTTTTCTTAGAAAATCTCCTTCAAAAAGTCATCATCTAATATTACATCACTACATTTTCTATTCGCCGATTCCGAGTGGATTCGTTCCGACTTTCTGCTTTTCTCTCGTAGATTGCTTTGACTGCTTTTTAATGTGGTTTTATTGACGCAACAAATCATTTATTGCAAATTCTTACAAAAAAACCCCGCTTCCGTTCGGAAGCTGATCAATCGCGCCATTTACGCGAGTACATCGATGTCGATTTGCCGATTTTTTACAACGAAGCAATGAATTTCCAGTGACTAATCTCTACATGAGTAAATGATAGTACAACTGTGTTCGGTCGTCACGCTTGGTCGATGCAAAGCCAATGACTTCTTCCCGAGTAATTAAATCAGCTGTTGAAATAAATTGATCATTTGGAGAATCATCAAAGTGTGCTGTTTTTATCTCATTTTTTGCCGTCTCATCTCTGAAAACTTAATACCGTGTCGCAATACCATTTACCATATTTCCTACTAATTATGGAAGGGCTAAAATTGAAAGCAGAACCAATGCTCTAAATCACCGTGGCTCAATCTGCAGCGCTGCCCTTCTGTCGGTGAGTCGCTTCGAAGCTGGCAGCTGTTTTAATTGCCAGCGTCCTTCCGAGTGATTAACCAAAGGTTCCACTTTCGTCCCCCAAAGCCCTCACCTCCGGCATGCCTAGCGATATTCGAGTACGGGGCATGTCTGTGTTGCCAAGCGATTTCATATTGCAAATTAATGTCGCGTTGCTAATATTATGTGCCTTTTCATGTTTGAAATCTCAGTTTGACGTCTGCGAGCTGCTTGGAAAGTTTTGCATTTTTTCTCTCAATATTTTCGTTAAATATCGGTTGGTCAAACCCATTCCTGTTTGCCGTCACGACATGTGCCCGTTTATAATTATGATGATGATGTTATTGCTAACTTTTTGTTGTGCCTTTTTTTTTTTGCAAAACTTTTTTGACTGTTTTTATGGATTCTGATTCGTTTCGTTGGCTTATTGTAGTTGTATGCTCAAGACTAGCAACAGCTGTGAAATCTGTAAATTTATTGACTTTTACGGTTTCCCTGATTTACGTGTAGAGACATGCAAAATTATAGATATTTGAGCTTTTAGGAACATACGTCTTTGAATTTTTTGCGTGCTCTGAAGTGTCACTGAAGTGTCAAAATATCAGCCATCACCTGTTGAGCCTGTTGGAAAGGTGTCCGTTACAATTGGGGGTATTAAGCTTTATGTTAATTGGTTATTCTAAGAGTCCATTTCTTGGCACATGAAGCAACAAAAGAGCGCTGGTGAAAATCAGTATCGGTTTAGTATCGAAAATGCTGGGCCTTATTCTAAGCGGAGTGGATTTAGTTCTTTAATTTGTGGAAGTGATTTACCATATTCCATGTACCATAGACCCCGGAGTCCACACGAAATTTTCTAAGCATTCATTCGAATATTTAATCTTTCCTGATGTGAAATGACAGAATTTATCGAAAACATGCTTCTGTGTCTGCGTCTCGTTTGCATCATGAGGTTTGTAATAACCAGAAGGAAACTCAGTCGATTTAGCCATGTCCCAACTAATTCTTAAGTTTTCGAGATATCGATCTGAAACTTCCGTTCCACTTCAAGAAATCTATATTCGGTAACCACATTCGGCTTGAAGGTTGCTCATATCAACCAGGGAAGGTAGAAGGAACCAGCATATAACTAATATATACCACGATATACCATTTGGCATAAAATGAGCCCTCCGGCATTCATATTAGTTGAATATTGCTCTCGATCCAATATACTCAATTTTTAGTTTAGATTTACCTAGATTTAACCATCCAATCGTTTTCGTACCCACGCACTGAAGGGGCTGGACTCAACTTAGCATCATCGTCAAATATATTTAGGGAATATTTATTGCCGGAAGGAAATGGAAGACAGTTGAGTACAAGATACAGTATATAGGGGCTACTTATAGACAGTTCCTTCCATTCCTGCCTCCTGATTTGGAAAACGCACAGAAAAACGATTGATGCCAGTTTCTTGTTCATATTTCAGAAAGTCAGAGACAATAAGGCGCGCTGCTCTACATTACTTTTTGAGGAATTCCAGGTGTCAACGATTATTATACTCTTGATCTCAACAAAGATTCAAAAGAACCACCAAAGCAATATTTAAAACTCCTAAAAATGTTCGATTAATTTTCCTATCTCGGATTTCAGCGAAATAAGAGCTATAAAGGCCTTGAACTCGCTGGCAGTGAGCTCAAAGCTAGTCATATTAAACCTGTACGGGTGCGTGGTCACAGCGAAATGCTCGGAAATTGTAAAGCCGACGAGAAAAACACTCTTTCCTAAAGTCCATCAAGATTGAAACGAGCAAGGGTTTCCCCATCTTTTTCATTCTAAAGGTCTCTCGCGAGCTTAGTAAGCGTTATTTCGGAACTAGGACATGTGTAATTGGGAAAGCATTCTGCCCCAGAGCGAAACGTGAAAGGTCCATTCAAAGCTCACATCGAAAAAATGATAGAAGCTCTAACGGAGCTCTATTCAGTTTTTGCCAAACTAAGGTTGAGGCATCCACCTCACCATACTTTTTTATGAACCCGCTAAATTGGCTATAATTGATATAACCACGACTCAAAAAATTTATAACAGACTTTGTCGATATGAGACAGTCTTTTGGTTCCAAACCTAGGAGTTCTGGGCATCACGACTAACAGGTGTCTCGTCCTGCCTAAGTATCATTATTCATAGTCTCACCAAAACGAAGGAACCTGAAACTATGCGATAGATTATGAACTCCAATCATGAAATACCTAAGACCAGAGAACTAATCATACGGTCAGAAACCTGTAAGGCTTTTCTGTAAAAATGAATTCGCAACGTCTGCAGCCCTTGGGTCTTACACACACATTACATATGTATGCATAACAACTTGTCGTTCGCCCATCCATTGTTTGCAATAAAAATGTCACTTGACAGTGCGACAATCAGCTTGACAATTGAAACCGTTAACCAAAGCCATTTTGTATGCGCGGCAAGTTCATGTCATTATTACAACTGCTCTCCTGTTATTATTATTGTTGTTGTTCTTGTTATTTTCTTGGTTGCTCACGCTGTCAAGTTGTGAAGTTGACGCGCTGCTCTTGTTGCTGTTGTATGCTGCCGGCGCGTAGGTGGAGTTGTCACGTGCACCGGCCACGATAATTGCATTACCTCGCAAGCAAACATTGCAAGCGGCCGGGCATGCGCCGCCGTCGTACGAGCGCTCGGCATGCGAGCATGTGATGAAGCCTCGACGCACTTGCCAGGAGACGGCGTCGCCGTTGAGGCGGAGCTGACACATGACGTTGCATGTTGCATGTTGCTTTTATTATTGTTATTAATGTTGTTGGTTGTTTGCCAACACAGTTTATTTACCGCTGCTGCCGCTGCTTCTTTCTCAACGCATTGGCTTTTTATTTAATTTAATTTTGTTATTGTGGTTGTGCGGTTGTTTTGCTTCTTAAATATTTATGTTGTCCGCGATGTCGCGGTGATAGTGTCTTTGGTGTTGATGTTGATAATGTTGTTTGTATTTGCATTAGCTGTTGTTGTTATTGTTGTTGCTGCTGATGTTGTCATTGTCGCTCTTGTCACATGTGGCACAAGGAAACGACCTCAGTTCGTGCAATATTGCTTTGCGGTATGCTTTTGTTGGTGCTTTAGCCAACTGTTTATTGTTGCTGTTGCCTCATTATACTAGCGTCGTTCACATTTACTTACATACAGCCCAGCAATAGCAATAGCAGCAGGTTTAAATTACAAGGCACCAACTGGACTGAGTTTCTTCGCCAGTTGGCCCTGTTGCACGAATGCCAAATGCCCACACACACTAATACACAGGTACGTGTATGTATGTATATGCACATAGCACGCGTTTTTTAGCCAGACTTTTTTCACAAAGTAAACCAACTGTCGCTTAGTTTGCGCACATTGCATAACCGTCAGAGAGTCGCTGGCTTCGCTGGGCGAAGTTTGAAAGATTGTACAAATCACTGTCCATCACTCGGCCGGACTGCCAGCTGCTTGAGTGGCATTTCAGCTGCTGCTACTGCTTGCCACGGACTTGAGGGCCAGCTGAGGTCACACAGCCAACTTGCATAGTTAAAAGAAAAGGCTTGAAATATATATATATATATATATATATATTTTTTTTTTTAATAAATACTTTGGTTAGAGAGCATCTCTCACTAGCTTAATTACTTGCTAGTGAATTTTGTGGTTGTATAAAGAAGCGTAGACAATTTCAACATTCCTTTGCCAATCTGCTTGGTTGTCCATCTAACCGCCTAGCGGGTTTGAATGAGTCTTCAATACAGTATCAGTCATGTGGTTTCTTCGTTCGTTACGTTCATTACGAAAATTTATGTTTTGTGAAGATAATATAGCAACCGTTGCTAAGAGTCTATAAGACTAAGACCGTGGATAGTCGATTCAGGGCCGTTCGCAGTAACTCGGACTGACGTATGGAAGGTCCTGGTGCATTTTACGTCGAGATATTAAATTAATAGCATACAACAAACAGCTTTTGCAAAAATTGAAGCCTCTCGACTTTGCCTAGCGACAGCGCTTCGCTCCATGTGCTCTTGAAAAGTTCCTAAAAGATCCGACCTTTTCGAGGCAAATTTTATCCAGCGATGATTTCTGTCTCAATGGGTATGTAAACAAGCAAAATTTCTGCTTCTGGGACGAAGAACAACATGAAGAGATTCAAGAGCTGCCATTTCATCCAGAAAAAATAACGGTTTGGTGTGGTTTGTGAGCCGGTGGAGTCATCGGTCCATATGTCTATAAAAATGATGGCGGTGAGAGGGCAACCGTCAATGGCGACCGACTATTTGATGACTGAAATTGAAGCTCGTGATCCCGGACATTTGGTTTCAACAAGTAGGCGTCACTTCCCACACTTCGGATCAAACCATGGTCGATTAGTCATCAATATCCTGTG